AGAAACACAGCAAGAGAGGGAACACAAGCAGGGGGAGTGGGAGAGGGAGAAGCAGGCTTCCCGCGGAGCAGGGAGCCCGATGTGTGGGGCTTGATCCCAGGACCCTGGGATCATGACCCGAGCCGAAGGCAGACACTTAATGACTGAGCCACCCAGGTGCCCCCTTTTGCTTCTAATTCTTAGCTGAGCTTTTCTCCTCTATTTTGAATTTTTCTGATACTGATTTATGATGTTCTTTCATGTTTTGAATAATTTTCTTAATATTTTTCAACTCACTTTAAGAGGTTACAGTTTTATTCTGTACCTTAGCAAGTCTTCTGGTGTCACATTTGACCTTAATACTTTCCTGTTGTTCATTTTCATGAGAAATTAGTTTTCCTGCACTTTCAAAAGAAAGCATGTTTCAAGGTAGTTTTTCCCAACTTTACAGAATTCTCTCTTCTCGTATTTTGTGTAATTATTCAAAATATGGAAACTTAGTTTATGAGATATACTCCTCTGCTACTCTTCCCTTTGTCTCTATTTTACTTGAACTGCTTGATTTGATTTCACCCCAGCAGTTCTCCCAGAAGGCAGCATTAGAGCTGGTCAGGAGCGTTCACAGGGACCAGTTGCGTTAGCCATTGAAGACACCATTCCTTATAAGTCATTTGCTATTGAGTTGGGCAGAAGCCCTCCCATTTTCAGATGCTGTTTTCACATTAATCTACCATGGTTTCTGATGTCTACCTGTGGGCTACTTTGGGGTTCTTCTGTTCTCAGGTACCTCACTGCTTGCTTCTGCTTTCTCTCATACATAAGTGGTACTCTGCAGGTCTTATGGCTGTTGGTGGTTTAGCCTCACATGCTCGGAGTTTGGATTTCCTTGGGATACCTTTAAACTTAGTTTCATTGTAAATGTAGATTATGAGTTTTGGGTTTTCCTGTCAATTCTGTTTTAATGGTGGGCTTCAGAGAGATTAAAAAACTATGCTGCTGCTTCTACCACCATCATAAAAAAAAATTACTTTTTTCCTCCTTTTCTTCACTGCCTAAGAGAGAATGTATGTGATATTTCCTGCCCTGCCATTAAGTTTCATTATAAATTAAAATGTACAATATTATTTACAAACTGTTTTGAGATACTCAGAAAAAATGCCTTATGAATAATATTATTATAATTATTGTTAAAATTCAGTATATCAGAACAATTAGAATTTTCTTAAGCTTTGCTTCTTTAGGCATAGTTTTTGTTTTGGGTTGTTCTCTAAGAGAATAGTGCATGCTCTAACTATTTTGTGTTCTATAACAATGTTAAAGGTTGATGGAAAACATCCTTGTGATTTTTCACCAAAAGATGAAAGTCACAGAAATTCCCTAAGACCAACTTCTTGGAATCAGCCAACCAGTGATTCAGAAACAGATTTATTTACGGATTCTCATTTACAGGTAAAATTAAATTAATAAAGTAGTTTTCGTGATAGCTACATCCAACTTGATAATTACTATTTTTAGATTTGTCTTAGTTTAGATGAAATTAAATGTGAATATAACATACATATTTCTCTATTTACTTAACATATGTATGCTCACATATACTCAACAAATGAGTTAATGTTTTGTATTCTCAACTTAATGATAATATTTGTTAATAGAATTTGGAGTATCAAAAAGATAAATACCCCCTGAAAATTTTATTATGATTGCTGGGAATTTTAGTTGTCTGCTGATGAAGGAAGTTGTCAGTGAAAGGCACTGTTTCTGTTAGGTATCTCAGTTCTCATAAAGTCTCTCCAAATACCTATTGTTGAGACTCAAAAGATACACTCCAGTGTAAGTAACCATTTTCCGTCTTTCTCAATGAAACAAGATCATTATTATAATAGTATGGTAAATGCTGAAGATCATATTCTGTAGAAGTATTATAGAAGATAAAACATTTTAAATGATGTTAGCTACTAATTAATGAATGCCAAGAATAAATCAGAATGTGTTTTGATAGTTTGCAGATATTCTCATTTGACTCTCCAGGTAATCCAGTGATGTGATGTACTGTTATTCTCATTTTCTGTGTGAAGAAACTGAGGCTGATATAACATTCATAAGGCCATACATTTGGCAAGTGACTCAGGACTCGAACTTAGTTCTGTCTTGTTTGGCAGTCCCTATTTATTCCATGGTATTCAGCTACAAGACTTAGGGTTTTTTCCTCTGCTCTGTTCCTGTTCAGATGTCATGGTCTGTTTTGCTTTTTGATTTTGTTATCATCTTAACTGATTTCCTTCCTCCAAATGCACATAGGCATTCAAACTCTAATTGCAAGCAACTGTAGGCTGCAAGGGATTGTGATAATAAGATCTTATGGGAGGAATAAATATTTCTGGACCAATCTTATCTCTGCCCAAATGCCTTTTGTCTGTGCCATTTTATATCCCCAGTATTTATTTCTGAGTCAAATATCGTGTCATACAGTGTATATAAATCTAACGTGTTCTCCTGGACTTCTCTTCCCTGTGAGGAAATTTGCTATCCTTAGCCTGTTTTTTCTTTAGCTTTTGCTAAAGTGTGAATAGCTCTTTCTTCTTCATTGGATTTCTTTAATTAAGCCGAAATAGCTAGTAGTTTTTTTTTTTTTTTTTTTAACCTTTCCTGAATACAAGGTTTCACAGTTTTCTGCTAAGGATCTTTTACTTTTTGTCCCACCCTTAAATCTTTTGAAACCATTTTTAAACATAGAAAACATAATAAAACATGGCAAGTAATTGGTGAACTATATATAGAGATTTTGTTCTTGAAATTGAATAAATAATGCCTTTTACCTTAAGCTAATAGACCTATTATAACTTAGATTGAGGTCACCTTATCATAAAGTCCTTCAGATAGTTCCAATAACTAAATTAGCTTGGCTGGATTCCAAGGTGTATTTGCGTTAGAATGATTTGTCTGTTATGTTAGTTTGAGGCTCTGTGGTCAAACTGAGATAAGACTAATTAATACCATTTTATGCTTATGGAACATAACTCAATATCATTTTATTTTTTTTAAGTGCAGATCATATAATACACAACCAGTGCCTTTGGGTTCTTAAAAAATTTTTTTCAGGGACTTTTAACTTAGGGTTCTGAGGCTTCGTTTAGTGCATATAAGTCCTCTAAAATTGTGCAAAGTATTATGTATGTGTATATTTAGAAGTGGATCTCCAGGTTTTAGCAGATTCTCAAAAGAGTCTTTGAGACAAAAAACAGAATTTTTTTCATTTATTCAGTGAACGTTTTTTGAGTATCTGTTATGTCCCAGCAACTCTGTAGGCACTGGTAGTGTTTGGATCACTCTGCTAGTCAGTCAGCCATCGGAGACACAGAAGTATATGCTTTTTCAAATACCTCTGTGATTCTGTGTGTGTCTGTGTGTGTGTGTGTATATGTGTGGGTGTATATATGTGCATGTGTGTGCACCTAAGCAGATGCCTTCCTCAGAACATTAAATTAACCATTTTGGTCAACCCCAACCAAATACACATGAGATATAAATCTGAAATAACATCCAGTTCTTACCTTCTCAAACGAGTGCATACACTTGAGTGCCTGAGAACAGATAACAAGATGGCAGGTAATGGCCTAAAGAAACAATACAGTGATTTTTGTCTCTCTTTTATTTACTTTTTGATCCAGAAATAAATTCTGTGGCTCTCACTATTTTGTTTTATTCAGCAAGGGAAGGGTGGTGGGTGTATATACTGTAACCTATGTTACTTTTTACAGCTGACATAACATTTTCAACATGACAAATATTTCTTTTCCTGTTTCTTTCCTACAGCCTTCGTCTGTAACCTCAAAGAGAAAATTACCTGAGTGGTTTGGCAAAGACAATGAGACTTTAGCTGACACCAGCAAGAAATCAATGGCCAAACCAAAAAAGAAAGGTCTTTTTAGTTAACCTGGCAATTGCCAGAGGAATTGTGTGTGTCTTGCTGTATTATAAGAGGGGCACTGTGTTTCATTTTTGAAAATAGTGGAGGCCGATACTTCAGTTTACAAAGTGTTCTAATCTCAAAAGTAAAACTAACCCATTTGTTCAACAGCTGTAAAACAGCCTTGTGCAGTTTACTAAAGTTGAGTCTGCTGAGAGCCTGCGTGAGTACATCATAGAATAGAATAATAAATTGGTCTCCTTTAAGATTGCTTTAAGAAACTGTTACTGCTCTCTTTTCTAATCTTTTTTATTTCAACAGTATGTTTGGAAAATTTAAGGGGTGCTGATTTGATACAAATAACGGACTGGTGGTAGTTGTATGATGATTACGAGTGTGATAGAAAATCTTCATCTATTACCAGAATTCTTTCTTGTGAATGAAGGAAGCATAGTTATTTTTACTTATTGTCCTTACGTATCCTTACAAGAAACTCTTACACACATTGATAAATGGTATTAATGGACCAGACCGTTGAAAATGAAACATTCTGGGTTCCATGCAAGTACGGAAAAATAATATAACAAAGGAGACCAACTTGACTAGGCAACTATGTACTTTATATTTTGTATGCTATTTCTGTTATTTTGCAAATACTAAATTCCTTCATACTGAATATTACAAAGATATATAATATATATATATATATTTTACTTTTATTTACTTAATTACCTTGAGGGCTTTTAGTTTTTGAGGATGTTGGGATTTGATTCTAACCTCTTTATGTAGCACATGGTAGACTTCTGTATTGAAACCCGTACTCTGATACTGAGTTTGGTAAACCATAGTTAATATCACTTTAACCAGTTCACCATATGGCCTTTAACTGACATTTTTGTAACTAAAAATAGCTGTTAATAAAGAAGAAATATTGTAGAAGAACTAGAAAATCTGGAGAGATGAAAAAAATAAAATAAAAATCACCAGTCGTTCTATCAGCAGATAATCAGTTAACCCCTTCTGTGTAGCCTGCTAAGCCTCTGTATTCACTGCTTCTCTTAGTGTGATACATGAATAATGCATGAATGTATTTTCTTTGTAAAACATTTAAGTTAAAACACAAAAGTTCCTTGTATTCCCATTTTCCTACATCTCTTTACCATTCCCTTTCCAGAAGGTAGCTCCTTTTAAATATGTGACTTAAAGTTCAATAATCATTCCTTATGCATTTACATGCTTTTGCATATATATCTACACATACATTCCTATTTTTTAAAGTGAATTAGATCATGCTATATGCAATTTTCTGCAACAAACTCTTTTCACTTAATGTCATGAAGAACTTTCCATGTCAGTATATATTGGTCTGTCTCATTGTTTTTTATAGCTACCTACCATTCTATATGGCGAATATACTATATTTTATATAATCACTTTTCTATTGGTGATTTTTGTTTTTTTGTTTTTTTTCTATTTTAGATTATTTCTAGAAGTAGAATTAGAGGCTCAAATTTATATTTCACTTGAATATATTATGAACATTTTTTTTTCCATGTCATTAAATTGTTTTCCACAGAATCTTTTTTGGTGGCTTTATATAGTACAGTGATTCTCAAAGTGTGGTCCGCAGACTTTTAGGAGTTTTTGAGACTCCTTCAGGGAATTTGCAAAGGCAAAACTATTTTCATAATACCAAGATATTATTTGCCTTTTGTCCTATGTTATTTGCACTGAGGGTGCAAAGCAGTCGTGGGTAAAACCACTGGTACTTAAGGGCAAATCAAGGCAATGACACCAAATTATTGATTTCATTAATTCTTAGTCTTTAAACACACATCTTTTCAATCTTCTATGTGATGGAATGGCAAGTATGTATAAAACACTTCTGCTCTGTACCAAAGTATGATGGTTGTCTCCAGGAAAGGCTCTTGTTTGATTGTTTGAATTATGAATTGAATTAGTTCTTTTTCCATGGCATATCATTTTTTACTGAAAAGAATGACTGATAGAAAACCATGATTGGTTGTTGACACTTGGGCATTTGGTGGATAAAATTGAATGAAGCCATCTTATCATTCAGGGAAAACTGATGGTTACTTGTTGGCAATGATAAAATTTGAGATTTCTGGCAGAATTTGTACCTTTGGAAAACTTGTGTCTGCTGCCAGGAGTTTGAGAGCTTCCCATAATATAAAGGCTTTTCTAATGAGATATTATTCATACGATTAACAATATTTTTGAACATCTTACAATGATATTGTCAACAATTAGAAGATCTGCACAACTCAGTGAACTAATATTTTCTACATGACTAATACATGATCTTATAAAATCATGCATGAGTAAAAGATTCATGCAAACCACACAACAGTCCAATGGATTTTAATGTAGCATGGTATGAAAACATTTGTTTATATGGTTTCAGATTGCACACTGCAACCAGTCTTTTAAGAAACTACAGGTGTCCAGTTGTGGTATAGTTTCAAAGAAGAATGTCTACAATTATCTGGAAGAGCTATTAAAAACTCTCCACCCTTTTCCAACTATATACCTGTTTAAGGTCACGCTTTCTTCATATACGTTGACCAAAAGAACGCATACTGAATGTTAGAAGCAGATTGAATGTAGAAGCAGAACTGAGAATCCAGCCACTTCTGTGAAGTCAGACAATGCCATTCTTCTATCTTGTGGGGGATATTTTTGTAAAATGTATTTATGTTATGTAATGGATTTACTGCTGCCTTTTTTTAAAATTAATAAACATTTCTTAAACATTTCTCAGTTCTAATTTCTAAAATGGTAAATAGTGATAGATATAACCCACATTAACAAAAGCTGTTTTGGGTCCTCAATAATTTTTAAGAATATAAAGGAATTTTGAGATATAGGAGATTGAGAACTGCTGATGTATTTTATTATATAGATGTACTTATGAATTACTCAGCTGATTAAATCACATCCAGTTTTTCTATTTTACAGCTCTGCTTTGAACATTCTTAAAATAAAATAGGGTATAGGGGCGCCTGGGTGGCTCAGTCGTTAAGCGTCTGCCTTCGACTCAGGTCATGATCCTGGGGTCCTGGGATTGAGCCCCGCATCGGGCTCCCTGCTCCGTGGGAGGCCTGCTTCTCCCTCCTACTTCCCCTGCTTGCGTTCCCTCTCTCGCTGTGTCTCTGTCAAATAAATAAATAAATAAATAAACAACTTAAAAAAATAAATTACAGAATTCTTAAAAAAAAATATGGTATAATCTCATGTCAAATACATAGCCAGAGGGAGAGAGAGAATTATTTTTTGTCTTGGTCATAATTTTGTATGGACTTTAGGCCTTTCAGCATACATGGCTCTTGATTTATGTTTGAGTTGGTTCCAAGGAGAAAAATTCCAACTTGGATATGGGATTGGCACCTGTGACCTCATCTAAGCTAGTCTTTGGCCACAGTATTTGGATCTGGCTAAATTATTCCAATGAGAGTGAATCTCGGGACTTCTTACGGGAATTCTGGAACAAATATGTTCTCTTTTCCCCTGCTGATACTAATGAGGAAGCATGGACCTTGGGAGTGTTGGAGCAATTTTAGGACCCTGAGGAATCATCGTTTAGTGAAGCTGACACTGAGGTAGGCAGAGTAGAAACTGCAGGAAATCAGGTTGGTGATATTGTGGGGCTACTAGTTCATGCCCATCCTGAAGTCAGACATATCTTTGAGTATTTCATATACACGGGTCATTAAATTCCCTTTACTTAGGTTGAACCTGTTTGAATAAGGGTTTTTTATTTGTTTTTAACTTCCACTGTGCACTGCTCACCACAGTACAGTCATATGATTGATAGACCCCCCCGCCCCGCAACAGACATAAAAGATACAAAATTTTTTTAATGGCGAAGGATGCGGAGGCTCATAGAGATAGTTTCACAAAGTAGACGACAAAGCAGCATGCTCCTTGATGGAGGAGCAGGCTTCTAAATCTCCAGGTTCCCCATTTCGCATGCATTCCGTGTGGAATTTACATATCCTCCGCTCTCCCCACCCCGTCCCACTCCCTACCACTTCCTACCACCAGGGTGCGCTCCCTACCACTTCCTACCACCAGGGCGCGCTCCCTACCCCCTGATGGCGTTGGGGAGCCGCTGCTGTGTTCTGCCTGATCACCAGGTTCAAGTGTCTGGTACCAAATGACTCAGTACAGCACAGAGTACTAAGAACTGATGAACTGGACTTTAATTTCCCGGGTGTATCATCATTCTTCAGCTCTGTCAGTCCTCGAGTTTGCCTCAGGTTCATTCTCAAAAATAAGGAGTTTCTTTTAGGGTATTCGTCTTATGCTATCTCCTCCACAAGGTATTAATTACTATCTCTTGTATTATCATTTGGAATTCTGACCACGGAGTCAGACAACGCCCTGACAGTTATTTAGAATTAAAAAACAAAAACAAAAATCCCCACAAGCCTGTGATCCTACCAGATAGAATAAAAAAAGAATATAGGATTCTTCCTGTTCAGAGAGGTTGCAATAGAAGTAACCAAGAACATGAAAAATCCAATAGTATGACTGTACAGTCATTTTAGAGCTAACTAGACATTTATCTGTCTTATGGGGAGCAAAGAAATGCAAAACCAACAAAAACACCGAAGAGCGTTCACTACAGTCGTGAGGGGAGCTGCAAACTTCAGGATCTCAGCTACTTGAAAAGGTGCCACATAGATTTTCTTGGGAAGGCAACCCAAAAATCATCTGGGATAACGTAACGTACAGACATCCTTACTAGGTAAATGTGTTTAAACCTTGGAAGAAATTAGAAATTAGAGTATGAAGTAAATTAAAACTTTGGTAATATTTTAGGGTTAAAGAATAATAGGTCTGTATTTGATAGTGTAAGCATCTGAAATACTTGGGATAATTTAGCTTTTAGAGTAACATTATTCTTGTGGCTCTATTTTAAAATGTATCATTGAAAAATTAGCATATGCCTGTTCTTTTAAAGCTGAAATCCTACCAAGTTTGAAACATTATTGGAATATTT